TTGGGACCAATTGACGCATCTGAGATGGCCACTTGCTACCTTTCAAGACCCCAGACGCCACTCACCAAAGTAGGATGCAGAACATTTTCTTAAACTTTTTTATGCCAGTTGAACTAGATATCTCCTGAAAGCATGGTCCCCAGACTCCTGCCTCTGCTACTCTGTTCCTTAAAGTGTTTGGTTGTATTCAGGAAACTACTTAGCTTTGGTTTAGTCCAGTTATGCTGACTTCACCTGTAGTGTGTGCTGTCCTTTCCTTCACCTAAGATAAATCTAATAAGAGAATAACCCAGTCCCTCCCACCCCACCCTTGTAACCAGCAAAGAATGTTTTCTTCTGTGTTTTAAACCTTTTCTTGAGTTCTTGTAATAGTGGTCTTACACAATATTTGTGTTTTTGTGACTGACCAAATTCACACAGCATAATACCTTCCGCATTCCTCCATGTTACGAGAAGTTTCATGGATTCATCATTGTTCTTTATCATTGCATAGCATTCCATTGTGTGAATATACCATAATTTGTTTATACATTTGTCTGTTGATGGGCACCTAGGTTGTTTCCATCTTTTTGCTGTCGTAAACAGTGCTGCAGTGAACATGGGTATGCATGTATCTATTCGGGTGACGGCTCTTGTTTCTCTAGGATATATTCCAAGGAGCAAGATTTCTGGATCATATGGTACTTCTATTTCTAGCTTTTAAGGACGCGCCAAATCATTTTCCAAAGTGGTTGTACCATTTCACATTCCCTCCAACAGTGTATAAGTGTTCCAGTCTGTCCACAACCTCCCCAACATTTATGAGTTTGTGTTTTTTGGATTAATGCTAGCCTTGTTGGGGTGAGATGATATCTCTTTGTAGTTTTGATTTGCATTTCTCTAATGATTGTGAGCATTTCTTCATGTGTCTGTTAGCCGCCTGAGTGTCTTTGGCAAAGTGCCTCTTCATATCCTTTGCCCATTTTTTAATTGGGTTATTTGTCTTTTTGTTGTGGAGGTTTTGCAGTATCTTGTAGATTTTAGAGATTAGATGCTGATCAGATTTGTCGTAGCCAAAAACTTTTTCCCAGTGTGTACGTTGTCTTTTTATTCTTTTGGTGAAATCTTTTGATGAGCCTAAGTGTTTGATTTTTAGGAGCTCCCAGTTATCTAGTTTCTGTTCTGGTGTTTGTGCATTGTTATTTATGGTTTGCATTCTGTTTATGCCATGTATAGGGCTCTGAGCGTTGTCCCTATTTTTTCTCCCATGATCTTTATCGTTTTAGATTTCATGTTTAGGTCTTTGATCCATTTTGAGTTAGTTTTTGTGCATGGTGTAAGGTTATGGGTCTTGTTTCATTTTTTTGCAGATGGATATCCAGCTATGCCAGCACCATTTGTTAAAGAGACTGTCTTTTTCCCAATTAATGGACTTCGGGCCTTCATCAAGTATCAGCTGCTCATAGGTGGATGAATTTATGTTTGGATTCTAGTTCTGTTCCATTGGTCTGTGTATCTGTTGTGTACCAGTACCGCACTGTTTTGACTACCGTGGCGGTATAATAGTTTCTAAAATCAGGTAGTGTGATACCTCCCACTTTGTTCTTCTTCTTCGGTAATGCTTTACTTATCCGGGGCCTCTTCTCTTTCCATATGAAGTCAGTGATTTGTTTCTCCATCTCATTAAAAAATGCCGCTGGAATTCGGATTGGGATTGCATTGTATCTGTAGATGGCTTTGGGTGGAATTGACATTTTCACAGTGTTGAGTCTTCCTATCCATGAGCAAGGTATGTTTTTCCACTTATGCAGGTCTCTCTTGGTTTCTTGCAGTAGTGTCTCATAGTAGTTTTCATTGTATAGGTCTTTTACATCTCTGGTTAGATTTATTCCTAAGTATTTTATCTTC